ACAATATGTTCGGACAATGCCTACTGAGGAGAGGCCGACCAGAGAATTGCCTGCGGCAAAATATATGCAAAACACAATGATGTGCCTAAATTTCTATTATAATTAGCCTTTGTACCGCGTATTTACCTAAATACGTAACAAAAGTTGAGATTGTTATGAAAATTATCTTAGAGTATTTACTTACAATTGTTATAAACCATAATGCTTATTAGTCTATAAATAATATATGCTATAAAAATACAACCAAAAACAACCAACCAATAAGCATAAACAATTTTAAATTTTCAACATAAATAAAAATCAAAATATTTCTGAAAAGATTTTTGTTACTTTTTTTCTGTGACTTTTTTAAGGATAAAATTGTTCCATTGTGACTTTTTTTCTGTGACTTTTTTTTCTTGTGAATTTCTTTCCGTTCACCGTGAGGACATAGGGAGGGGTGGGTTGTATATAAAGAGGGGTCGGGGTGTACTTAGGAAGAGAGGTGGGGTGGACAGGGAGGGGCAGGGAGGGTCATATGTCGACTTGAATCGACGTCACTCAAGTAATTGGGGGGGGGGGGGGGGAGTGGTTATTTTTTTTCTTAGATTGCTCTAGCTGGGTGGGCTACACAATTTTAGGTTGGTCGCAGATTGGAGGTGAGGATTTGAGAGTTTGGGGGTGGGGAGTGGGTAGGGGGATCACGTGACCGTGTGTATAGATGGAAACATTCGGCTCTTGACGGGAGGATTCAACACGTACCAAGGGGAGCTACTCGTATTTTACCTTCGGTGCTTGATAAAGGGATTACGTCCCCTGATTTTCTGCCCGAAACATAACAGACGGACTTTGCATGAACCAATCAATGTTACACACAGTTTGTGTGTACGTCTGTCTGTGTGTCTGTTTGTCTGTGTGTGTGTCTCTGTGTGTGTGTCTGTGTGTCGTGTGTTTCAGAGAGAATGTATGTGGCCGCCAGTGGCCATTTATATAAAGACTGACGTGTTTACATCCAAGTTGGGCGTCAGTGGCCATTAAATCCTAGGTTGGCCACACGTAATCCGGCTAAATGTTCACAGTTGGGCCACCTTAATGTGGCCATATTGGCCCACATACTGTGGCGACCTGTATTCCAGGCGCTGGTCCTATGCGACCACGCCCCCAGCCAGCCCCAAACAATCACGCCCTCTGCCTGCCCAAATTTGCCCTATACGACCACGCCCCCTCCCTGTCCTACATGACCACGCCCCCTCCCTGTCCTACATGACCACGCCCCCCACCTGTCCTACATGACCACGCCCCCGCCTGTCCTACATGACCACGCCCCTCACCTGCCCTGTACGACCAGGTTAGATAACTTGAACCACAATTAATCGTTAAGGCAGAGTTTCTGTCCTTGAACTTACTCCATGCTGAATTGAATTCTTTGCCTGGAGTTAAAACACGGCAGTTGCTCCAGTTACTGGTATCTGAGAATTGAAACGTTGTTTGTTGCATTTGGTTAACCCAGCTCAGTGATAAACAAATTGATATATTCCACCCCCCCCCCCTCTGCGACCCCTTCAGGAAGTTACCTTAAGCTTTACCTGCAACCAAAGTTGTATGCAGAGTTTCTTCCAGGCATCTCTTCCAGGCATATACCGCCCCCTTCCCCCAAACAAAATAGAACTTATATATTTTTAAATAGAAAATTACATACTTTTACCAGTGTGCCCCTTCCCCCCCCCCCCCCCCCCAGAAATTTTAGTCCTGAAAAAATACTGTTTATGTTGGTCATGTTTGTATGTCTGTCATATTAGTATGTCTGTCATTTTTGTATGTCTGTCATGTTTGTATGTCTGTCATGTTTGTATGTCTGTCTCTGTGACCTGACCCAAATAATTGTTGGTCGTCTGCCTGACCTTGTGTGACCTGTATCAATACATCCGGTCATCTTCCAGTACGGGGGGGGGGGGGGGGAACGACAACAGTCTTTCATGCGCTACCACTTCCTAAGCTGGCCCTATGTGGCCATTCCATTATCTAAAGCCGGCTTTCTGACCGGTTCCGGCACAAGAACCGGTCTATCACCGTCACGTCGTGAGGTTGTTGTAAGCTCTGACCTTTGCCCTTTGCCTTAACTGCCGGATGTAGTTTGCCGGATATAGTTACATCCGTATGTCTCGCTGTCTTTTTAACATCTAGATGTCAAGTAGACGACCTTAGCCAAATAACTGGTGACAAGTGAATTGTTTGTATTTATAATTTAAGAAGACAACCGTTCTTTTAATTAACATAATTACACCATTAGTGTTTGTATGAATCACCATTCTCTGTGGTGTTTTCGTGTGTTTGTGATAATCATATGCTAACCTGAATGTTTCTTTCAGACATTTTTCTCCAGAGAGGGGGGGGGGGTCTTGCAACTTCCACTGTGGGAATGGGTGGACAGTGGTTAAAGTACCAATGTACATTATGTCATGTTTTTTAATTCCTCTAGGGGCAGGGAAAGTGGGGGGGGGGGGGGGGGTGGACGGTGGGGATGAGGAGAGATGATGATCACTGTTGGTAAGTTTATCTCTTTAGGGATGGCATACAACATGATCCCCCCCCCCTCCCCCACAACTTGACCCCCCCCCCCCCACTCCACATAAGATGAACCACTCCAAACATATAGATAATTCTAAATGATACACTGTTTATTACAAGCTGTGAAAAACAAACAATTCAAAAGCTAAATGAACAAACTAGTACATGACACATGAAACTTTGGTGTATCGAATCATTGTAAGAAATACATGTCTCAATTCGTGATATCCATTAGTTGAGTCACTTCAACCTTTGAGTAACTCCTTGTTTGTGTTTTTACTCAAGTCGTGTTGTGACTCCTGTCATGTTGTGACTCCTGTCATTCCGTGTGACAGACATCACTGACACTTGTCACTGACACTTGTCACTGACTTTTGTCACTGAGATACAGGAAATCATTTGAAAACAGCTGACGATGATGTCTGCCTGTCATGACATGACATGACATTATCTGACATCCGGCAATACACGAGGATGTACAAATACGTCGGTCATTTAATGTTTTAAGTCCAACGTTACACCGAGCAATAAAGTGGTTAATGTACCGCCTCAACATTCGTAGAGGCGAGATATTGTTTGCCAAATATTGGTCCAACATTGGTCCAACATTGGTAAGAATGTGATCCAAATAAATATTCAAGCATTTGCTGTGGTCCAAATATACAAGTTTAGCTGTAGTCTAGTTATCCAAGTTTTAGTCTAGTTATCCAAGTTTTAGTCTAGTTATCCAGGTAATATTTAGAGCCAGTGCGAGTATTAATACCACCAAAGTATTCTATTTTTAGAACGCCTTGTCCTGACAACAGAAAGCTGCCTTTCAATCAACACAGTAACACACTCAGTAGTTGTAACACACCTAGAGGTTGTAACACACCTAGAGGTTGTAACACACCTAGAGGTTGTAACACACTCAGAGGTTGTAACACACTCAGAGGTTGTAACACACCTAGAGGTTGTAACACACCTAGAGGTTGTAACACACCTAGAGGTTGTAACACACCTAGAGGTTGTAACACACTCAGAGGTTGTAACACACCTAGAGGTTGTAACACACTCATAGGTTGTAACACACCTAGAGGTTGTAACACATCTAGAGGTTGTAACACACCTAGAGGTTGTAACACACCTAGAGGTTGTAACACACCTAGAGGTTGTAACACACTCATAGGTTGTAACACACCTAGAGGTTGTAACACACCTAGAGGTTGTAACACACCTAGAGGTTGTAACACACTCAGAGGTTGTAACACACCTAGAGGTTGTAACACACCTAGAGGTTGTAACACACTCAGAGGTTGTAACACACCTAGAGGTTGTAACACACCTAGAGGTTGTAACACACTCAGAGGTTGTAACACACCTAGAGGTTGTAACACACCTAGAGGTTGTAACACACTCAGAGGTTGTAACACACCTAGAGGTTGTAACACACCTAGAGGTTGTAACACACCTAGAGGTTGTAACACACCTAGAGGTTGTAACACACCTAGAGGTTGTAACACACCTAGAGGTTGTAACACACCTAGAGGTTGTAACACACTCATAGGTTGTAACACACTCAGAGGTTGTAACACACCTAGAGGTTGTAACACACCTAGAGGTTGTAACACACTCAGAGGTTGTAACACACTCATAGGTTGTAACACACTCAGAGGTTGTAACACACCTAGAGGTTGTAACACACCTAGAGGTTGTAACACACTCAGAGGTTGTAACACACTCATAGGTTGTAACACACTCAGAGGTTGTAACACACTCAGAGGTTGTAACACACCTAGAGGTTGTAACACACCTAGAGGTTGTAACACACTCAGAGGTTGTAACACACTCAGAGGTTGTAACACACTCAGAGGTTTCTTGGAGTTTCCTAGAGAAACAGAGACTGGCGATACATAGACGGACCTCAAAGCACTTTGTTGGCCTTTCTTGTAACCGGCCTTCAATAAACGCAGACGGCCAAACACACAATTTTCTACACATGTCCCCCACACATGTCCCCCATACATGCCCCCACACATGTCCCCCACACATGTCCCCCACACACATGTCACCACACATGTCCCCCACACATGTCCCCCACACATGTCCCCCACACATGTCCCCCACACATGTCCCCCACACATGTCCCCCACACATGTCCCCCACACACACGTCCCCCACACATGTTCCCCACACATGTCCCCCACACATGTCCCCCACACATGTCCCCCACACATGTCCCCCACACATGTCCCCCACATATGTCCCCCACACATGTCCCCCACACATGTCCCCCACACATGTCCCCCACACATGTCCCCCACACATGTCCCCCACACATGCTCCCACACATGTCCCCCACACATGCCCCCACACATGTCCCCCACACATGTCCCCCACACATGTCCCTCACACATGTCCCCACACATGTCCCCCACACATGTCCCCCACACATGTCCCCCACATATGTCCCCCACACATGTCCCACACACATGTCCCCCACACATATCCCCACTGACTAGTCCTCTTCTCGCGAGTCTTGTGATGTCTCACGAGATCGATCAGTCGAAGACTTCCTGAAGGAGAAGTTCCGCCGACTGAAGAAACCTTTCTTGCAGCTCTTGAATGTGAAGATGTTCTTCACCTCCTCCCGGAAGTGGTCGGACGTGAAGCTGTAGATGAAGGGGTTGGCCACGTTGTTGGCCAGTGGGCTCAGTTTGGCCAGGTCGTAGAAGGACTTGGCCAGCGGGCTAAAGCTGCCCTCGACCGTCTCGGCCACCATGGAGATGATCATGGTGACGAAGTAGGGCGCGTAGCTGGCGAAGAAGACGACAGTGATGACGATAAAGACGACTGCGGACTTGCGCATCAGTTTTGTTTGTTTCTGTCTCTTGATGGTCTCGCAGCCGCCCGCCAGCGAGGGCCGCCGCTTGAGTTCCTCGTGTTTCTCAGACAGAGCCTGCAGCGATCGCACGACCTTGACATACAGCACAAACAGCGACACGCTGACCGTCAGGAAGACCACGCCCAGCATGGAGGCGTAGGCCACGAACACGCCCCCCTGCTTGCTGTCGCTGTGGATGAAGCAGTAGCTGACCTTGACATTGTAGTTGTAGAAGGAGACCGTGTCCCGCCCGAAGATCCATCCACACGGGATGTTCATCAGGCCCGACCCTACCACACTGGCCGCGAACAGTTTCTTGCTCAGTAACACCCCCACCCCAGTCTTACGCAGGAGGCAGAGCTTCATGAACCTGTGGGGAGAGGGGAGAGTTTCATGAATCTGTGAGGGAGAGGGGATAGCTTCATAAACCTGTGGGGAGAGGGGAGAGCTTCATGAACCTGTGGGGGAGAGGGGATAGCTTCATAAACCTGTGGGGAGAGGGGAGAGTTTCATGAATCTGTGAAGAGAGGGGAGAGTTTCATGAATCTGTGGGGGAGAGGGGATAGCTTCATAAACCTGTGGGGAGAGGGGAGAGTTTCATGAATCTGTGGGGGAGAGGGGCTAGCTTCATGAACCTGTGGGGAGAGGGGAGAGTTTCATGAATCTGTGGCTAGAGGGGATAGCTTCATAAACCTGTGGGGAGAGGGGAGAGCTTCATGAACCTGTGGGGGAGAGGGGATAGCTTCATAAACCTGTGGGGAGAGGGGAGAGTTTCATGAATCTGTGGGGGAGAGGGGATAGCTTCATGAACCTGTGGGGAGAGGGGAGAGCTTCATGAACCTGTGGGGGAGAGGGGAAAGTTTCATGAATCTGTGGGGAGAGGGGAGAGTTTCATGAATCTGTGTGGAGAGGGGAGAGTTTCATGAATCTGTGTGGAGAGGGGAGAGTTTCATGAATCTGTGGGGAGAGGGGAGAGTTTCATGAACCTGTGGGGGATTTGGTAGAGCTTCATATGTGTGTGGAGAGAGGGCAGGTAATTCAAACACCAGCCAGAACACCAATCACTGACCTGTCCGTGGCTATAATGACCAGCACACATCCCGAGGCACAGGCCGTACTCAGGGCCACGAAGGACGTGAACACACAGTTGGCCATGAACGTGCTGCTCCGGGGGTGGATCGTGATGTACAGCAGAGACGGCATGGCCAAAAGTAGATTGGCCAGGTCCAGGACGGCCAACATCTGAGTAGGAGAGTTTTCAAATGTTAATACGTAAAGAGAGATGGCCAACATCTGAGTTGGAGACTTTTCAAATGTTAATACGTAAAGAGAGATGGCCAACATCTGAGTAGGAGAGTTTTCAAATGTTAATACGTAAAGAGAGATGGCCAACATCTGAGTACGAGAGTTTTCAAATGTTAAAACGTAAACAGAGATGAATTGACGGCTGGCAAAAAATTTTTTTCTCTCACTGTTAGGAAATGAAGAAGTCTAATTATTGTCGAGTTTAAAAACTTCGTTATTTATTTTTAGAGCTCACATACGTCAGTCAGAGGCACGGCACCTGAGATAACGCAGACAGGATGAAACTACAGACATACTGATAGATGGGTGGATCCACAGACATTCTGATGGATGGGTGGATCCACAGACATTCTGATGGATGGATGGATCCACATACATTCTGATGAATGGATGGATAGATCCTTATACATTCTATTGACACTGCGACCATACAAACCACATATACTCTACTTGACCTACCCGCTTGAAAAGTGTGACCGTGTTGCTTCTCCACCGGAAGTGATAAATATAGAAGACGAGGAGGTTTCCCATGATGCCCAGCAGCATCATGGAGGGCAGGAGGATGAGCTCGGCGCCGTGCCACGTGAACAGGTCACCCTCCTGCCACGTGCTGGACGCCTGACCCGTCACGTTCGTCACGTTACTGTCGTTGTGTGACGTCACGACTGACGTCACTGTTGACGCCATGATTTGGCCTGTGACTGGTGCCCCGGTCAGCAGACGTTAAGATGGCGGTCAGTGTAGATCTGGTAGGGTGCTGTTGGAAGACAACGGTCAAGTCATTATGGCAGAAGTTGGGGGTGGGGTGGGGTATTAACTGACCACACTATCATGTCTAAAGTATCCACATGCCCCACCTATGTGGGTCAAAGGTTAAAACCGAGATCATTCAATCGTAAAGTCAAAGCATCTAGCCAAGGCATACCGCTGTTGTCTAGTTTGTCTAAGACCTAACCACTTGTCTTCAGTCCAACCACTTGTCTTAACCCAACCACTTGTCTTAACCCAACCACTTGTCTTAACCCAACCACTTGTCTTAACCCAACCACTTGTCTTAACCCAACCACTTGTCTTAACCCAACCACTTGTCTTAACCCAACCACTTGTCTTAACCCAACCACTTGTCTTAACCCAACCACTCCCCAGACCACCGCACTTGTCTCCCTTTCCGACCGGCTCTCCCCCTACACCAGAGACCCGGATGTTGCTTAACCCCCACAACTTGTGTGGTGTTTGACCGGATGTTGGCTGACCCCCACAACTTGTGTGGTGTTTGACCGGATGTTGGCTGACCCCCACAACTTGTGTGGTGTTTGACCGGATGTTAACTGACCCCCACAACTTGTGTGGTGTTTGACCGGATGTTAACTGACCCCCACAACTTGTGTGGTGTTTGGCGGATGTTGGCTGTGGTGTTTGACCCCATCTTCTGGTGCAAGTACACATTTCGTCTGTCTGTGTGTCTGACATTTGTTTTCTCCGACATACATTACGATAGAGACTCTGCTAATTAGCGATAGACATAAATAAACTGACGAAAAAAAAACACTTAAAAATGTTCTAGAATCTAATTATTCAAATACCCTGGCCAGCATCGTTAGGTAGAGTTGTGGCATTTGTGGGTGGTGGGGGGTGGGAGTGTGGAGTGGTGGTGAGGTGGGGGGGGGGGGGGTGGTAGATGCTGTTTACTCGTGGTGAGACAACCGCAGGTTGTACCCTATGACGTCACGAAACAGGACGAGTAGCCTGTCTACTGAAACTTTCAGCGTCGTCACGGAGTCATAAAAACTTATCTGACTCTGTTTCAAACATAGCGGGTTGACAGCGGGTTGACAGCGGGTTATAGCTTGTTGATAGCACTAATGCTGGTCTACACCACTTAGCCGTATTGCCACCAGTAGGTCCCCACCCCGTGGGTCACGTTGCCACCCTGGGGGTGCTAGTCAGCTGATGTCATGATGTCAACCCCCCCCCCCCTGCAACCACGCCCACAGTCCTGCCAAATATCGCCGCCAATCACAAGAGAATGTCTACCTGAGCCTTACACCAATACAATTTGAAACGTTCAAGTGTAGCTGCAACGCGAGGGGTTTGAAAGATTTCTACCACACCAGAAAGATCTAGAAACATCTGCGGTTACCTGTGTCACGAAACTTGACAAACTTGGACGTTGGAAATAAAGGGTGAGTACTCCAAACATCGAACACAGCGCTCAGTACGTGCAGTCAGCTGGTAATGCACGAGCGTCCGTCTGTCGTGTCGGTGGCAGACGGCAGTCACGAGGGACACACCGGATGTGACGCGGCGTTAAGTGTTGGCGAGACGAACAAGATGGCCGCCAGCTTAAGAATGGGGGACTTACAGAGGACATACAGAGGACATACAGAGGACATATAGAGGACATACAGAGGACATACAGAGGACATACAGAGGACACACAACTTCTGGAATATTCCAGAACTCCAGGGACCACACACTCTGCTGCCACTTCATTTGCCGGACAAGACCCAGCAGTTCTGACGTCACACAAACGTACGGCCGGTGGTCAGACTCGAATGGTCGGTTGTTCAGTAACAAGAGAAGACGCCAAATTTCATGTCCCTCAATTGATCGGCGGCCAGAATCGCAACTGTGGGGGATGGGGGGATGGACGTCCCACTTATACTGGACGTCAGACGTCCCACGTATGGTCAGGTAGGAGTAAAGAAACATAAGGGTTTGTTAACTGACGTGTACTGTGTGTGTGGCTGTTTGGTGTAGTTATAGAGTGTAAATGTAACAATTTCTACTTATGGGTTGGATAAAGTTTCTGGGTTCTTCTAATTGAGTGGTATCTGTCAAATCTTGTATTCAGACTATCGAATGCTTCGAAAGTTAAATAAACTACAATTAGTTCGACCGTAAAGGTAATATTTTTGGTGGCACAAGATTGATCTATGTATTGGTTGATGGGCAGCTTACATTCAGGTGACAGACAAGTGATAGACAGGTGACAGACAGGTGATAGACAGGTGACAGACAGGTGACAGACAAGTGATAGACAGGTGATAGACAGGTGACAGACAAGTGATAGACAGGTGACAGACAAGTGATAGACAGGTGACAGACAGGTGACAGACAGATGGCAGACTGCTGATAGACAGGTGACAGACAGGTGACAGACAGGTGACTGACAGGTGACAGACAGGTGACAGACAGGTGACAGACAGGTGACAGGTGACAGACAGGTGACAGACAGGTGACAGACAGGTGACAGGTGACAGACAGGTGACAGACAGGTGACTGACTGCTGATAGACGTCCAGCAGACTTCACCATTCATCAGAATACACCACACAACAACCGTTATTATTGTTTTTTTTATTTTTAGACATAAGACAATCGTTCAGATCTCACTTCCTGTTTCACTTCTCCACTTCCGGTGTCATCTCAAGACACAGCCCCCTCTTGTGTCCACTCGGGACCAGCTACACATCCTCGAGTGTGTTACTTACAAGAAAGTAGGCCACAAACAGATCTAGTCAGACAAACAATGAACATAAGTCAGCGACAAAAGTTTGAGTGCGAGACGTTTCGAGGCGTAGATAGACCGACATAAGGACATTAAGGCGCAGAGATGTAGGGGGGGGGGGGGGAGGTTGGGGGTAGATGACGGGTTGGGGTAAACGTTTTGTTGTAAACACAATCTGCCTGATTGGTTGGTTTTGCAATTGTCTGCTGGTGTGTGGTCACCAGTGTGTGTGTGTGGTATGGTCACCAGTGCGTGTGGTCACCAAAGTGTGTGGTGGTGTGGTCACCATTTTGTGTGTGGTGTGGTCACCAGTGTGTGTGGTCACCAGTGTGTGTGGTGGTGTGGTAACCAGTGTGTGTGGTCACCAAAGTGTGTGTGTGGTGTGGTCACCAGTGTGTGTGGTGGTGTGGTCACCAGTGTGTGTCACCAGTGTGTGTGTAGTGTGGTCACCAGTGTGTGTGGTCACCATTGTGTGTGGTGGTGTGGTCACCATTTTGTGTGTGGTGTGGTCACCAGTGTGTATGGTCACCAGTGTGTGTGGTCACCAGTGTGTGTGGTCACCAGTGTGTGTGGTCACCAGTGTGTGTGGTCACCAGTGTGTGTGGTGGTGTGGTCACCAGTGTGTGTGGTGGTGTGGTCACCAGTGTGTGTGGTCACCAGTGTGTGTGGTCACCAGTGTGTGGTGGTGTGGTCACCATTTTGTGTGTGGTGTGGTCACCAGTGTGTGTGGTGGTGTGGTCACCATTGTGTGTGGTGGTGTGGTCACCAGTGTGTGTGGTGGTGTGGTCACCATTGTGTGTGGTGGTGTGGTCACCAGTGTGTGTGGTCACCATTGTGTGTGGTCACCATTGTGTGTGGTGGTGTGGTCACCATTGTGTGTGGTGGTGTGGTCACCAGTGTGTGTGGTGGTGTGGTCACCAGTGTGTGTGGTGGTGTGGTCACCAGTGTGTGTGTTCACCATTGTGTGGTGTCATCATTGTGTGTGGTGGTGTGGTCACCAGTGTGTGTGGTGGTGTGGTCACCATTGTGTGTGGTGGTGTGGTCACCAGTGTGTGTGGTCACCATTGTGTGTGGTCACCATTTTGTGTGTGGTGTGGTCACCAGTGTGTGTGGTGGTGTGGTCACCAGTGTGTGTGGTGGTGTGGTCACCAGTGTGTGTGGTGGTGTGGTCACCAGTGTGTGTGTTCACCATTGTGTGGTGTCATCATTGTGTGTGGTGGTGTGGTCACCAGTGTGTGTGGTGGTGTGGTCACCATTTTGTGTGTGGTGTGGTCACCAGTGTGTGTGGTGGTGTGGTCACCATTGTGTGTGGTGGTGTGGTCACCAGTGTGTGTGGTCACCATTGTGTGTGGTGGTGCGGTCACCAGTGTGTGTGTGGTCACCATTGTGTGGTGTCACCATTGTGTGTGGTGGTGTGGTCACCAGTGTGTGTGGTGGTGTGGTCACCATTTTGTGTGTGGTGTGGTCACCAGTGTGTGTGGTCACCAGTGTGTGTGGTCACCAGTGTGTGTGGTGGTGTGGTCACCAGTGTGTGTGGTGGTGTGGTCACCAGTGTGTGTGGTCACCAGTGTGTGTGGTCACCAGTGTGTGTGGTGGTGTGGTCAGCAGTGTGTGTGGTGTGGTCACCAGTGTGTGTGGTCACCAGTGTGTGTGGTGGTGTGGTCACCAGTGTGTGTGGTGGTGTGGTCACCATTTTGTGTGTTGTGTGGTCACCAGTGTGTGTGGAGGTGTGGTCAGCAGTGTGTGTGGTGGTGTGGTCACCAGTGTGTGTGGTGGTGTGGTCAGCAGTGTGTGGTAGTCCAAATTGAATAACATTTGTGGGTTGAACATTTTAGTGGGGGTGTGGTGGTGTGTTGAACATTTGTCTAGTGTAGTGTGGGTTGAACATTTGTCTAGTGTGGTGTGGGTTGAACATTTGTCTAGTGTAGTGTGGGTTAAACATTTGTCTAGTGTGGGGGTGGGTTGAACATTTGTCTAGTGTGCTGTGGGTTGAACATTTGTCTAGTGTGGTGTGGGTTGAACATTTGTCTAGTGTGGTGTGGGTTGAACATTTGTCTAGTGTGGTGTGGGTTGAACATTTGTCTAGTGTAGTGTGGGTTGAACATTTGTCTAGTGTGGTGTGGGTTGAACATTTGTCTAGTGTGGTGTAGAAACGTTGACCAGATACTGACAGATCAAATTTCTCAATGAACTTTCAAATAACGTGTTAAGAGGTCAGAGTTCAGCATGGTAACTGTTTCTGCAGCAAAGTAAACAAACCGTCAACCCTCTCACCGTTTACCTGAAGGTCAGGTAACTCACCAGGTAGAAGTCTGCAGACAAAAGTCTACTCACAGGGTGGGGGAGGGGGGGTGTTGAGATAAGCTGGTATTGCAGTCGTCACTCATTTTTGGAGCTAGTTTTTGACAGTTTCCATTTAGATTTCGGAATTTTAAAAATCTAAAAAATAAAATAAAAACTTGAATCGAGGGAGATATGCGTGGGATATTTCCAGAACGGCTTCTGCACATTTTTGTGTGACCTAAATTATTTTTTTAACTGCACATCCCATATCGTGCACCTGGTAATGGAAGGATCGTAACAACAATATTCTCTTGCAGCTGTAGCATAGGTGGTTCACCTGCACACACCAGCCACATAACAGCCACACACACACCAGCCACACACACCAGCCACACACCAGCCACACAGCGGCCACACACCAGCCACACACCAACCACACAACCCAGCCACACAACCCAGCCACACAATCAGCCACACCAGCCACACCAGCCGCACACACCAACCACACAATACAGCCACACAACCAGCCACACACACCAGGCACACACACCAGCCACACAACCAGCCACACACACCAGCCACACACACCAGCCACACACACCAGCCACACACCAGCCACACACACACACCAGCCACACACACACACACCAGCCACACACACCAGCCACACACACCAGCCACACACACACACACCAGCCACACACACACACCAGCCACACACACTAGCCACACACACCAGCACACACACCAGCCACACACCAGCAACACACCAGCCACACACACACCAGCCACACCAGCCACACACCAGCCACACCAGCCACACACCAGCCACACACCAGCCACACACCAGCCACACACACCAGCCACACACACACCAGCCACACACACCAGCCCCACACACACCAGCCCCCACACACCAGCCCCACACACACACCAGCCACACACACACCAGCCACACACACCAGCCACACACACCAGCCACACACCAGCCACACACACCAGCCATACACCAGCCACACACCAGCCACACACCAGCCACACACCAACCACACACACCAACCACACACCAACCACACACCAGCCACACACACCAACCACACAATCAGCCACACCAGCCACACACACCTGCCACACACACCAACCACACACGCACCAGCCACACACACCAACCACACACACCAGCCACACACCAGCCACACACCATCCACACACCAGCCACACACACCAACCACACAATCAGCCACACCAGCCACACACCAGCCACACACATCAGCCACACACACCAGCCACACACCAGCCACACACCAGCCACACACCAGCCACACACACCAACCACACAATCAGCCACACCAGCCACACACCAGCCACACACACCAGCCACACACCAGCCACACACCAGCCACACACAAAAACCACACAATCAGCCACACAATCAGCCACACCAGCCACACACCAGCCACACACACCAGCCACACACCAGCCACACACCAGCCACACCCCAACCACACACCAACCACACAATCAGCCACACCAGCCACACACCAGCCACACACCAGCCACACACACCAACCACACACACCAGCCACACAAACCAGCCATACACACACCAGCCACACACCAGCCACACACACCAACCACACACACCAGCCACACACCAGCCACACACCAGCCACACATCAGCCACACACCAGCCACACACACACCAGCCACACACACACCAGCCATACACACACCAGCCACACACACCAGCCATACACACACCAGCCACACACCAGCCACACACACCAGCCACACACACCAACCACACACCAGCCACACACCAGCCACACACCAGCCACACACCAACCACACACCAGCCACACACCAACCACACACCAGCCACACACACCAGCCATACACACACCAGCCACACACCAGCCACACACACCAGCCACACACACCAACCACACACCAGCCACACACCAACCACACACCAGCCACACACCAACCACACACCAACCACACACCAGCCACATACTAACCACACACCAACCACACCAGCCACACCAGCCACACACCAGCCACACACACCAGCCACACACTAACCACACACCAACCACACCAGCCACACCAGCCACACACCAGCCACACACCAGCCACACACCAGCCACACACCAACCACACCAGCCACACCAGCCACACACACCAACCACACACACCAGCCACACACACCAGCCACACACACCAACCACACACACCAGCCACACACCAGCCACACACCAACCACACCAGCCACACACCAACCACACCAGCCACACACCTCACAGTCGCTTCTCTTTTCTAAGTGTTGTGACAGGACATAATATCTTAGACACACTGAATATATCAGAGACAATATATCAGAAACAATATATCAGAGACAATATATCAGAAACAATATATCAGAGATAATATATTAGACCACCAGACCACCACTGACACCTATACATCAAACATGAACGTTTGACCACCAATAAGGGAGTCACACAAACCGATGTCATGTGTTAAACTCCGTCTGAAACCTTCTACCACCAGTGTATCCCGTGACCAGTCAGGTATAAAAAATGCTTTTGGCCAGTTCAATTAATGATTAATTAGAGGTAATAACTCTTTAAATTTCTAATTGACGAACCCGACAAGGAGAGGGGGGGGGGGGGGGGTGACACCATGACGTAACCTGGTAACTATGGAGAAAACGACGCTACAATCAGCTGTATTAATAGTGAACAGAAAAAAAAGTCATAGAAAAAAGACACAAATGAAAATTTTATTCGGAAAAAAGTCACAGATATAAAGTCACAGAAAAAAGTCACACATTTTTTTTTATTGTTCAGATATGTAAAATTGTGGGTGTTTATTTTTATAGCATATTTATAAACGATAAAAGCATTATGGTTTAAAACACTAATAAGTAGCCTGATTTATACAGCAACCACAACTTTTATAATGAATTTAGTTAAATACCCTCTTGAAATGTTAATTATAAACGAAATTTAGGCACATCATTGTGTTTTTGCATGTTTGTTTTTTTGTTGCCGTTCCTCGGTCGGTTTCTCCTCAGTCGGCTTTGTCCGTCCATATTGTGTATTGTTGACGATTTGTGACAAAGCCAGCCTTTATACCGTGTCGGCTCTCTGTTTTGATCCTATGCTTTGTTATGTAATGAGCATGAGGAAAGTTGGCAGTACAGGTGTTTGAACTATTTTTGGGATAAGTTGAGGACAGCAAGTCACATTAACTAAGTCTTAATGCCATTTCTTGCTATTTAAAGTTAGTATTTCACAAACACAATGAAAATAAACCGTGAGTGATCTCCCTTTAGCTTCCTCGAATATTCTTATATGGGGTCGTCCATAAATGACATCACAATCGTAGGGGGGGGGGGGGGGGGATCTGTAATTTTGTGACGGTGTGTGATGAGGGGGGGGGGTCAAAATGGTGAGACGTCACACTTTTGCATTATAAAAAAGCAATTTTAGAAAACGAATTTTAGACGTTATTTCGCGTTTTAGATAACTGTTTTAATTGATTAAAATACTCTATTTTGACTGAGTTCAGAACAAGATTTTAGAAAAATATCGATTTAAAAAAAAAATCAACTGCAATTTTGACTGAGGTGTGACGTCATTTTAGAGGGTAGGTCTGGCTTTTTGTGACGACGTGTGACGGAGGGGGGGGGGGGGGGGTAAAAATCGTTAAAAAAGCGTGACTTCATTTATGGCAATTCGGGATATAGACAATATTTTAAATCCATTTTTAATTACTTAAACTTTTTATAATAGAATAGATCTCGTAGAAAAAAGAATTGCACACCAAGTGAACGCCAAGCAAAATGTGCATAATAGTGCGGGATATTATTAGTACTTTATAAATTCACATGTGTTTTTTGAGAAACCGGAAACAGCGTAAATTACTACTTCCGGTCAACAGAAATTGCTCATAATTTGACATAAGGTAGGTAATTAGATCTTTTACTTACATGTGAAATTTCATTTATCTATCTGAAATAGTCCTCAAGTTATAGGCTTTTGAAAACTTGAAAGAAGAAAAAGTTCCACTTCCGGCTAGCGGAAATTGCTGAAATGTTGATACGGATCTACAAATTTAATGTAATACTTATATATGAAATTTCATCAACCTAGTTGTAACGGTACTCAAGTTATCGTGTTTACAGAAACACAGACACACACACACACACACACACAGACACACACACACATACACACAGACATACGGACAAGATTGCAAAATTATGTTTTTCCGTATCAGTGAGGTGTAAAACGTCGAGATTTGTAAAAATCTCGATTTGTTTTTTTGCACGATTACAAGACTTTCTCTATACTTCGTATATACGAGAAAGTAAAGCCCTGGTTACCTCACCTTACCTCAGGCCTGGTTACCTCAGGCCTGGTTACCTCAGGCCTGGTTACCTCAGGCCTGGTTACCTCAGGCCTGGTTACCTCAGGCCTGGTTACCTCAGGCCTGGTTACCTCAGGCCTGGTTACCTCAGGCCTGGTTACCTCAGGCCTGGTTACCTCAGGCCTGGTTACCTCAGGCCTGGTTACCTCAGGCCTGGTTACCTCAGGCCTGGTTACCTCAGGCCTGGTTACCTCAGGCCTGGTTACCTCAGGCCTGGTTACCTCAGGCCTGGTTACCTCAGGCCTGGTTACCTCAGGCCTGGTTACCTCAGGCCTGGTTACCTCAGGCCTGGTTACCTCAGGCCTGGTTACCTCAGGCCTGGTTACCTCAGGCCTGGTTACCTCAGGCCTGGTTACCTCAGGCCTGGTAACCAGGCTACTATAAAATTCTCGTAATGTGAGAGCTCACCTTACCGCAGACTTACGTGGAAATGTTACATAAGTTGGGAGATAGAAAACAAGGCTCAAAATAACCTAAAAAAACAAACACAGATACAGAATCACACGGTAAGTGAATGGCACGGTGAGTGAATGGCACGGTGAGTGAATGGCTGTGAATGGCGCAGTGAGTGAATGGCACGGTGTGTGAATGGTACACCTAGCCGGCTGTATCTGGTTAGGTGCATTTAACACATCTCCACAGTTGAAACAAGCAACACACGTTGACACAGACACTACACAACAGGCGGGCCCCTCAATGCCCCAACAGATATCATAACCGTTACAAGTCTGTGGCGCCTGACAGTTTGCAGAGGCGTAGAGACCCATCACGGCGCCAGGGGCAAACTAACCATGTCGCACCCCCTCCCACCCCACCTCAGTTGATTTAACCGAGGCATACAGACATATCACGTGACGACATACCGTCTAACATATGACGTAACGTGTGCAAACAATTGCTGCAAATGTTTTTTGAAACAGTTCACTTGATTAATATACCCAGGTCACGGGGTTGTAGGACAAAAATACAGAAAAAAAAGTCATAGGAAAAAAAGACAGAAAAAAAAAGTCACAGGAAAAAAGTCACAGGAAAAAAGTCACAGGAAAAAAAGTCAGAAAAAAAAAAGTCACAGGAAAAAAGTCACAGGAAAAAAGTCACAGGAAAAAAGTCAGAAAAAAAAGTCACAGGAAAAAAGTCACAGGAAAAAAAGTCAGAAAAAAAAGTCACAGGAAAAAGTCATAGGAAAAAAAGACAGAAAAAAAAGTCACAGGAAAAAAGTCACAGGAAAAAAAGTCAGAAAAAAAAGTCACAGGAAAAAAGTCACAAGGAAAAAAGTCAGAAAAAAAAGTCACAGGAAAAAAGTCACAAGGAAAAAAGTCACAGGAAAAAAAGTCATAGAAAAAAAGTCACAGAAAAAAGTCACAGGAAAAAAATCACAGAAAAAAAAGTCACAGGAAAAAAGTCACAGAAAAAAAAGTCACAGAAAAAAGTCACAACAAAAAAGTCACAAATGTATATTTCCATTGAATTTGTTAACACTTTTATGTATTAAATATTCCGAGAGTGCAAATCAACTTACGATTAATTAAATGTAATGTAGAGTGTATATCGTATATAGTAATATTTATAACACACGAAAAAATGTTTAGAATGAAGTATGTAGGTTGTAATTATGTTAGACATAATATAATTTCTCGGGTTTCATCGTGTTCTTTTAAATTCTAACTTTAAATGAGCATGAAGTGGTATACAGACGTAATTCATCTGACTTGCTTCACTCAACTCATCGCAACAATAGTTATGATTAGTTCAACCACCTTACTTCCCACATTTATCACGCTCAATACATAATAAAGAACAGGATTAAAACTGAAAGCCGACACGGTACAGAGGCTGTCATTGATGCAAAACGTCCACAACAAGCAATATGATCGGACAAGGCCGAGTGAGAAGAGGCCGACCAGGGAATGGCCTAATGCAAAATACATTCAAAACACAATGTGCCGAAGTTTCTTTAGTAACTAAATTGTCTACCGTATATTTAGCTAAATATGTATCAAAAGTTGAGATTGCTGTGTTAATTATTTTTACAAGCTTTTATTTAACTCACTTCCTCTGTCTGTCTGTCTGTCTAGACGGAAACGCAGGAGTGAAAATTCGGACAGTTCTACTTGACCGATACGATTCACAGTTGGCACGTGGGTCAAGACATGAAGACAATGCAATCTGAAACTAAATTTGACTTAATTGGATGCCTAATTAATTTTTTATGAATTAATAAAAATTTGGACCGAATTAGTAGGCATGTCTAGCCAACCACACCACACGCGTCATCACCTTCAATAGCTGCGCCATCACGTAATGGCTGCGTTCAAAAACCATTGCGCGCCTACTGAACGTGATGTTCAGTAGGCGCGCAATGGTTTTTAGTCATGTAACTCTATTGTAAATAAAACATGTAAAGTACTGAAAAAAAATTCATAAAAAACGTTTTAATAACAAGCTTTTATGTGATGATGCACTAAAAAGTAGAAAATAAATTATAGACTACTATTTAAATAACTATAAAGAAAAGCGTGGGTGTCTTCCTAAACATTAGTAAAGGTATCCAATAGATACTAAAGTGACCCACGCTTTTCTTTCTAGTTATTTAAATAGTAGTCTATAATTTATTTTCTACTTTTTAGTGCATCATCACATAAAAGCTTGTTATTAAAACGTTTTTTATGAATTTTTTTAGTATTTTTACGTATTGTTTTTATCAACTATAATGCTTTTAAAGTTTATAAATATGCTACAAAAATAAAATAAAACACAACCCACAACAATAAACACCCAAAACTTTACGATTCTCAACATTAAATCAAAATATTTCTTAATAGATTTTTTTTTTCTTTGACTTTATTTCTGTGACTTTTTTCTGTTTTTTTCCCTGTTTCCCCCCCCCCCCTGTAACATTTCTTCCGTTCACCGGTAACGGATGTTCTTTCAGTGGATATCACAACTAACGCACATTTAACTTAAGTTTTTGGATATATTCTGTTTATAACTGGCGCAAAAACAGTCTGAAGTCTGACATAATTAGATGTGAAATGAGGTGTTTTCGTGGCTGAAAGAACTAATTAGCTTAAGTTAATGAAACCTCTCTTTGATCATAAACCTCGACATGAAGATGTGGCAGATGTGAGGGGGGGATGTGGACAGATGTTGGCAGATGTGGGCAGATGTGGGCAGATGTGGGCAGATGTGGGCAGATGTGGGGGGATGTGGGGGGATGTGGGCATATGTGGGCAGAAGTGGGGGAATGTGGGCAGATGTGGGTGGAATGTGGGCTGATGTGGGGGGAATGTGGGCAGATGTGGGGGGGATGTGGGCAGATGTGGGTGGAATGTGGGCTGATGTGGGCAGATGTGGGGGGAATGTGGCAGATGTGGGGGATTGTGGGCAGATGCGGGTGGAATGTGGGCAGATGTTGGGGGAATGTGGGCAGATATGGGGGAAATGAGGGCAGATGTGGGGTGAAAGTGGGCAGATGTGGGGGAATGTGGGCAGATGTGGGCAGATGTGGGGGAATGTGGGCAGATGTGGGCAGATGTGGGGGGAATGTGGGCAGATGTGGGGGGGGGGGGGAATGTGTGCAGATGTTGGCAGATGTAGGCAGATGTGGGCGGAATGTGGGAAGATGTGGGGGGAATGTGGGCAGATGTGGGGGGAATGTGGGCATATGTGGGCAGATGTGGGCAGATGTGGGCAGATGTAGGCAGATGTGGGTGGAATGTGGGCAGATGTGGGGGGAATGTGGGCAGATGTGGGATGATGTGGGCAGATGTCGACAGATGTTGGCAGATGTGGGCAGATGTGGGCAGATGTGGGCAGATGTGGGGGAATGTGGGCAGATGTGGGGGTAATGTGGGCATATGTGAGGGGAATGTGGGCATATGTGGGCAGATGTGGGGGGGAATGTGGGCAGATGTGGGCAGATGTGGGTGGAATGTGGGCAGATGTGGACAGATGTGGGGGAATGTGGGCAGATGTGGGGGGAATGTGGGCATATGTGGGGGAATGTGGGCAGATGTGGGCAGATGTGGGCAGACATGGGGGGATGTGGGCAGATGTGGGCAGATGTGGGCAGATGTGGGGGGAATGTGGGCAGATGTGGGCAGATGTGGGCAGATGTGGGCAGATGTGGGCAGATGTGGGCAGACATGGGGGATGTGGGCAGATGTGGGCAGACATGGGGGATGTGGGCAGATGTGGGCAGATGTGGGCAGACATGGGGGATGTGGGCGATGTGGGCAGATGTGGGCAGATGTGGGCAGATGTGGGTGGATGTGGGTGGATGTGGGCAGATGTGGGTAGATGTGGGGGGAATGTGGGCAAATGTGGGCAGATGATGGTGGATGTGGGCAGACATGGGGGGATGTGGGCAGATGTGGGCAGACATGGGGGGATGTGGGCAGATGTGGGCAGATGTGGGCAGATGTGGGGGGAATGTGGGCAGATGTGGGCAGATGTGGGCAGATGTGGGCAGATGTGGGCAGACATGGGGGATGTGGGCAGATGTGGGCAGACATGGGGGATGTGGGCAGATGTGGGCAGATGTGGGCAGACATGGGGGATGTGGGCGATGTGGGCAGATGTGGGCAGATGTGGGCAGATGTGGGTGGATGTGGGTGGATGTGGGCAGATGTGGGTAGATGTGGGGGGAATGTGGGCAGATGTGGGCAGATGTGGGCTGATGTGGGCAAATGTGGGCAGATGATGGTGGATGTGGGCAGATGTGGGCTGATGTTTATCGTGTGATGTGGGCAGATGTGGGCAGATGTGGGTGGAATGTGGGCAGATGTGGGCAGATGTGGGGGGAATCTGGGCAGATGTGGGGGGAATGTGGGCATATGTGGGCAGATGTGGGGGGAATGTGGGCAGATGTGGGCAGATGTGGGGGGAATCTGGGCAGATGTGGGGGGAATGTGGGCAGATGTGGGCAGATGTGGGGGGAATGTGGGCAGATGTGGGGGAATGTGGGCAGATGTGGGCAGATGTAGGGGGAATGTGGGCAGATGTGGCGGGAATGTGGGCAGATGTGGGCAGATGTGGGGGGAATGTGGGCAGATGTAAGGGGAATGTGGGCAGATGTGGGCAGATGTAGGGGGAATGTGGGCAGATGTGGGGGAATGTGGGCAGATGTGGGCAGATGTAGGGGGAATGTGGGCAGATGTGGCGGGAATGTGGGCATATGTGGGCAGATGTGGGGGGAATGTGGGCAGATGTGGGGGAATGTGGGCAGATGTGGGCAGATGTAGGGGGAATGTGGGCAGATGTGGCGGGAATGTGGGCAGATGTGGGCAGATGTGGGGGGAATGTGGGCAGATGTAAGGGGAATGTGGGCATATGTGGGCAGATGTGGGGGGAATGTGGGCAGATGTGGGCAGATGTGAGATGTGGGCTGATGTTT